CGAATGCATGGACAGCCTAGGCGCCGGAAAGTACGAGACTCTCACCCGGAACCCACTTTGGTGTCCTACAGCCTCGGAGTTCTCTTGGGTGGGATCGTTGTCCACCTGTGAAGGCCAGTCGTCCTTCATAGACACCACCGACCACACTTGTTTCGGTATCATGTTGCCCGAGTCGTTGAAGACATCGGTTTTGCATTTACCCATCGACCAGATTACCGAATCTAGTTCACATTTTGCCCTCCGACCCTGCCCTCCCATCGGCTCACCTCGCAAGCCTTGCAGAGGAGTAGGACTGTCCTTCTCCTTCTCCTTCTCCTTTTTCACACCCCACTTTTGCCCCATGACTACCCTTTTTCGGGACCACAGCAGTTTGTGATTCGCTTTTCTCCTCTTCACCATCGCCTTTACTCACTTCTGACAGGTGTCCACCTCCTCACCCCTTCGTGCACTGGTACCCCCTCCCCACCACCACCACCACTAATACTACTGCTACTACTACTGCCACTACCACCTCCCTTTAGTACTCATCTTTCCGAGTTTGTTTCCACTCATCCACCCTTTGGCTCCATTTGGCAAGTGTCACCGTCTTTTCGGCGATCTTCCCAGTTTTTGCTCGACCTTCTTGTCGCCCAACCGGGCAGAATGGGATCTGGAGCCTTCAGGAGGAAGAATAACGCGTCAACACGTCTTCTGCAGACCCGTTCTTTTGCGTTGGGAGGTGACGATTGACCTTTTTGAGCTGAGAGGAATTATGAATTTTGTATAGTGCAGGCAATAGATACATAATTAATGCTGCAAATATGGTCTTCTCTTTGTTAGCCGGCATGTGTGAAGAAGTCAGCTGTTCTCATCAGCGCAAGATTATGGGATTTTTCTACTCGTCAAGTTATTTGCGAAGATCCCAATCGGCATACATTTAGCTCATGTTGAAATACCAATAAATCCTATTGTTGACTTATGCGAGATCCATCAAAAAACAATCAAAATGCAAATAATTCTTCAAAAAATTAATTTCACCTTGGCCAATCTGGCACGGCCCTTGAGTCAACAAGGGATAAGGCTTTCTGGATGCTCTTATTAATTAACGAGAATGATGATTAGTAATGATTAATAAGAATTTTAAATAGCATTAGTAGTCATTTTGTTGGGTTTTAAACAACGACAAAATCGCGATGGCTGGTTTGAACGAGGCTCGACTGGATTTCGGGACAAGCTGTATCAATAAGGCTAGTGTGAAATGGGAAAAAAATGAGACGAAAATGTAAAATGACCATCGCTGAGGAAACTGGCTGTACAGAACTAGAAATGTACACCAGATTGATTATGCTTATGCGGCTCAGAGATAGTAGGAGACCCGCAAACTGACGAGGGGAGAAAGAATTTACGCGATTTTAATGTTGTGGACATTGTGTGAATATGCAAAAAGGTCAGGATTCGACAAATGTATCCACCAATTCATGTGGTTATGTCTGTTTGCATGACATTTCATCCCAAAGGAAATGTTGATTAGGTCTTAACGGGACTCGAAGAATGATTTGTTTTTGGAGCTCAAACACTTGGATTGTGTGAATAAGTCCTAGCCTCATCGTCGTCTGTCCCATTGTAACAGACATCGCAGAGCACGAGACCATAATTGACCAACCGAAATCATCTTATTCTTTGGCTTTTCTTCCATTTGATGCGTTATTTTCATGAGTGACGGTTTCTCATTCAGACCATTTTTGTCATGGCGATGCACTCAAAGGCAATCCTCATTTGGTTTGTGGTGATTACAATGAAATGTAGAGTTGTGTAATAATAGATGACTGAGAAATGCTTCAAAATCCAGCTTTAAATGATGTATTTTCAAGTAGATTTTGGAACTTCTGAAACCCACCCCATATTTGCTTACTTTCTGAGCCGACAGACGATTTGATCGGTTGCTTTAGGCTCCGTATACATTTTAGAAAATCAGAGGAGCGGCAAACTCAACAATCGCTCCTCATCCTGCTA